GATTTTCTTCTCCCATCTCAAATTTTCAGTCATTTTCATTTTGCTTTGATTATATTCAAAATGAATAATGTATCTCCAACTATTTTCACGGTTGTTGTGGTCGTGATAATTTTGTGAGGCCACATCGGATGAGCTTTCCAAAGTTCTACAAGTGCCTCCATCGCTTGTGTCCAGATCACACGCTGCACTGCCGTGCTGCTCCGTCTTTTTCGCTGTTTGCGCGTGCGCAGTGTGAGAAACTGCGGTGACACCCTCACGACGGTCGCGAGGATTTCAAACAGGTTTGATCGTCTCAAAATGGGCCAAAAAAAATCGCACAGTGTGAGCCCGGCATTAAATGAGCCTGGCTCCACAGAAAGCAGTGGTGTCTCTGGATTATGTTTGTTTGTTTTTTTTATTTGATTGGATTTTAAATTATATTTTTTCCACTGTGTAAGGCACACCTGTATCGCAGCTTTTTCATTTGCATCATTGAACTGAGCTTATGGAGCGGTTTCCAGTATAAAATCAAATCAAAGTTTTTTAAAGATGCAGTGAGTAGTGGTTTTTTGTTTTTTGTTTTTTTTTAGCTTATTTAACAAATTAATGCATTATCCTATTAACCTATAATTTATCCAATTAAAAATATATAGGAGTGGGTTTGCTTCAGACTCAACTAATAAACATCATTGGAGAACGAGCTTCTTTCAGTAAAGAAACACAAATGTGAAGGAAATTTTCTTCCTCGTCACCTCGAGCCTCATCTCCTGAACTGAAGTCTATGAGGAGCCGTATAAGCCAAAATTCATACTTTCACTCTCACATAGTTTTATTTTAATTTTTATATTTAGATATTTTTATTCTCATGTTTACACATATTTAACACACACATTGCAATATTGTGCTCTCTTATACATGTATTTTAATGTACATATTTACAAATTTTCACTCTAACATACATGCATTTTCATTTATGCATTCCTACATTTTGCTCTCATTTACATGCATTCAATATGCATTTAATCTCACAAATAATATATGTATGTAAGAAGAGAATGCGTATGCAAGAGAATAATGTATGTGAATGAAAGAGTATAGTGGAAACGGAAGGCTGGGTGTCTGTACCGCTGTGATTGGCTGAGAAGCACGCGCGGGTCACTTTCAAGTGTCTGACAGCATGGAGGGGGGAGAAGAAACTCGAGTTCTTCAGCAAGCTTTCGGGGTGTTAAGAAATATTTTATCATCTCCTGAAATGGTCACGTCGTTGTCCTCGTCACTTGATCGAGATGGGACGGGCTCAACTGCACCCAGTGTTACCCACAGCACGGTGGAAAGTGAGATGAGGGAACTTTTTAGACCAGCTAACACCCGGGTAGCTTCAACGAGCCAAGTAGCTACACGGAGTTCGACGGGAGTGGGGCAGTCTAAAACATGAGAATAAAAATATCTATCTATGTCTATAAAAATTAAAATAAAACTATGTGAGAGTGAAAGTATATGTGTGTGAAAGAAGAATGTATGTGTGTGAGAGTGAAAGAATGAATTTTGGCTTGTACGGCCCCTCATAGAAGTCAGGGCTATAACACACAGAAACATGAGTAATGCTAATGTATTCCCTATATTGTTACAATTTCTTATTCTCAGCAGATTATACACGTGACCCTCCCGTGTCTGGATACATGAGAAGGGCTGGTAACAGCTGGTACCAGCCCTTCTCATGTATCCATGTATCCAGCATGTATCCAGCTAATTTTGGGCTTGAGTGGCCTAACACTTCTCCACTGATGAAAAATTTGATTACGTTCTCACATTTTCAGTTTTGTGTCAGAGTCCAAAAAAGTTTCATCCTCTCAAGGACATTTTCGCTAACAGCAGCAAAAACAGCAGTGTTACCAAGGTTCAGGATATCCTCAACAGCTCATCTCATCAGTCAGAGATGAGCTACTCTGACTCACAAACTCCTTTCACAAAGTTTTACAGCCTCTTCCCGAGTAAAGCGACGTAGGCCCCGACACTGACAGCTGAGGTAAACAGTGCACTGACGGCTTTCCACGGATAGGGAAAAACTCTGGGGAGGATCTGGTCCAAACAGTAGCAGAAACACTCTGGCTGGATACACGTTATGGTGTACAGTCTAAATGTAATGTTTTAGATGGCTGATGAAAACATGTTTGTCCTACAGCAGCTACCATAGAAAGGATTGTGTGCTTGAATTGAGAGGGGGTATAAAAACAGAACTCTGACTGATATCTCACGGCAAACATTTTACACACTAACTTCAAGCTTAAATCATCTGGATGATTAAAGATCACAGCCATTAAGTCTCAGTTTCAGCTGTGTTCCTCACATACAGCGCTTTCTCTTAGTCCTCCTAATATTTAATGTTATCGTGTACCACAGATGGAACTTTTACTCTTAAGCTGATGCTTAGTTGAAGGTGGTCAAAGGAGCTTGCAAAGAAAAGCGTCTGGACTTCTTTAAGTTGCTTGAAGACGTTTCACCTCTCAT